AAGTTGGTGTGGATATAATTTTCTTTTTATACAAAACTGATAGATAGCTTCATAAGAGCATTGCATAATAAGAGCTGCATAATAAAAATAATAAAGGTCTCATAAATATTGAATATTTTGAGAGAATAGTTATTGTCCTTCATTGACGAATATTCTATTGGGTATAAACAATTAAATCCTTATTGTTTAAGGAGTCTCTATTAATGTTTAAGATACCAGTGGAAATGAATATTACATGACACTTGATCGAGATTTGTTTTCACATAAATTAGAAGTTTACTGAATCAATTTTTATTCTAAACATAACCAATTAAATTATCACATTTTAGTTTGTGGTGTGAAGAAAAAAATCATTAAGAACTCAAGTGAGCAGTATTTGAAGAACAAGTTTCTGTTATTATAAGGACTAGAAGATCCTATAGTCTTGTTCTCATTAGAAGATTATTATGAGATTATTACTAATGAAACTTGAGATTCCTTTCATACATATTAAGAAATTGTTCAAGGATAATTGATTGGGCCCATCAACTATTTGTGATTACAATTTAAATGTTATATATGATGCATCGTTATATTTGTTATATTTGTTGACAATTAACTCGTAACTCGAAGTTTATGATATTTGTCCTATGGACATAATTTATAGACTATGTTGAACACCATTAGTCACATAAGAGCCTGTAGCTCTAATTAATATGCAAAATGCATTGAATTGGTGGCTATACTTTTGATTATGAGAACAAAGCATTTTATACTGGTTTTTGAATCTTCATTTATGTGGTAATTATTTGGAGCAGATGCTTAGTGGGCATAAATTAAAAGAAATTATCAAGGTACCACAATGGTAGGTAGACACTGAGGGAAGGTTTCTGAAGGAGTTGAATGGAAGATAAATTCCATGACATATGCTAGATTATATATATTCTTCAATTAAAGAAGATGTGAACCTGAAGTTCAAGAAAGAAGATTATATTGTACTACGATATTGCAAATAAAGTGATCATTATGAATTTTATGTGTCAATTGTAAACACTTTGGTTAGAAGTGAATTCTAGATATTTTCTCAACCATAAAAAAATGGTCTTATTATAAGGAACCTGTAGTTCCAACATATAAGAACCTGAAGTTCTTCTTCGCATGTATTTTATATACACATGTTCATTTTTATTAATCCTTCCCTATAAATAAAATGTCAAATCTTCAAATTTTTGAGTTTCTTACACTTGATATCTCCTGAAGAGAAACAAGTTTGTCCCTTCTCATAATATTTGATTGTTTGATTGTGTGCCTTATATGCTCTCTCCCCCACAATGCATTCAATATAATGTAGAAGACTGTGATTGGCTATAACTCTTCGTCTATTGTTAAATGTTTAGAGTTTTTGACAGGAGATTTATTAACATCAAAGTAAGTTGGTTGTCAATTTTATGATGAAATATTCCCAGTCTTAGGGGGAGACAAGAATAATGAAAGACTGGTAATACAAGAAATTATATGAAATGCATCATTGTAAATTTTCGACTCCTGAAGTGGTCAATGTAATTTTGAAGTCTGATTTGCAATGAAGAGCAAATGGATTACTCGATGCATTCACATATATGAGCAGGGTGACAAAGTTACATATACCAGCATCTTATGCATCGCTCAATTTAAGGTAGTCTCAGAAGTGACTATTGAACATTTTATGTGGGAGAATAATTGGTTTCAAAGATTAGAACCCACGAAAATGAAGATATATAGCAAAAATGCTATTAGTGAAACCACATACATGATTATGAGTGAAACCACAGAAGAGGTAACTGTCCTAGAAGAAGACTAATACTATTCCAGAAGAAAATGAAACCCTAGAAGAGGTAAATGTCCTGGAAGAGACTAATATGATTCCAGAAGAATAAATTTCCTAAAGAAACATCGGTACCGAAAGAAAATGAGATCTCTATTAATTATGTACGAGACTGTACAATATGGAACCAAAATGAAACACGTGTAAATGATATTATTGTATATGCTATGACAATGGATGTAATCAATAAAAGAGATTACATGCCTAAAACTCAAAGAAGAATACATGTAGATAGTACATAAATGATTTGCCAAATGGAAAAAGACCCTGAAGGTCGAATATAAGTCACTCGATAAACGGAATATTTTCGGACCTGAAGTCTGAACACTCATAAACGTCAAACCAATAGGTTTAAAATGAGTGTATGTAATAAACAGAAATAAAATGAATGAGATTATGCGATATGAGCAAACGTAATCATAAGGGACACTTGAAATCGATATATGTGTGATAATAATCTCTGAAGGATTCGAAATGCCAAAAACAATAAAATTAATACATCGAGATATATGTGAAGAGATCGTGGAATGGTCTTAAGTAATCTAGTCATATGTGGTACAATTGACCAGTGAATATCTCGAAAAAGAAAGATACAAATTTGAAATCAACCTATGTGTTGTCATTCAAGGATCGCTCTCAATATTCTTTATTATACCAGTTTACGTCGACGTATAAATATCATTAGATCTCCTGAAGAGATGGAGAAAAGAAAAAAAACTGTTGAACTCTTGAAGAGAGAATTTGAGATGAAAGATCTTGACATGACATAAATTATACTTTGGATTGTATTATAAACACATATATGATGGCACATTTGTCCATAAGTTAAACTACATCCAGAAGATGTTAACACGTTGAAGGGAGACAGAACGAAGCAAATCTCAACAAAATTTTTCTCGACATGTAATCTGCAGAAAGAAGGAGAGATCAATGTTTTTCAAGTTAAGCAAAATTTGGTGGACTTATTCACCAAATCTCTACCTAGACACAGTTTTGAGCAATTCAGAAAGAAGATTGTACTTCGCAGGCTAACAGAGATAAATTAGTTTGAGGGGGAGTATATTTTTATTTTGAGGGAAAATATTATACACGCTGTACTCTTTTTCCCTTAACTAAGTTTTGTCCCACTGGGTTTTCTTAGTAAGGTTTTTAATGAGGCAGCATAACTGATCCTACAGGATCAGTTAATATAGGTCCTGAAGAACCTAGCCAACATTATCCTGTAGCATAATGTTGTTAGTGTATAATGAACGATGATATATCTGAGGGGAAGTGTTAAATATGGCAGATATATTACTCTTATTATTTAGAATATTTGGTTACCTTGTTTACCTAGACTTTACCTCCTCCCTGTGTATAAATACCCCGACATATGATGAATAAAGTACTCAGTTCAAAATTCCTGAAGCATGCAATCAGAAAGCTCGTGAGTTATTCTCAATCAAGTTACAGAGATCATTATACGGATTGAAACAATCTGGTAGAATGTGGTATAACCGTCTTAGTGAATACATTGTTAGAGAAGGCTACATAAATGATCCAATTTGTCCATGTGTTTTCATCAAGAAATCTGAAGTTGGATTTGCTATCATAGCAGTATATGTAGATGACTTAAACCTTGTTGGAATACTAGAAGAGTTAATAAAGACTGCAAACTATTTAATGAAAGAGTTTGAAATGAAAGATCTTGGGAAAACCAAGTTTTTTTTATCCATCAATCAACATATACGGAAAAGGTCCTAAAACGATTTTACATGGATAAGGCACACCCATTGAGCAGTCCCATGGTTGTTGGATCATTGGATGTAAAGAAGGACGCTTTTCGTCCTCGAGAAGATAATGAAGAACTTTTAAGTCCGGAGGTACCTTATTTAAGTGCTATAGGGGCGCTAATGTATCTTGCAAATTGTACAAGACCTGATATAGCCTTTTCGGTAAATTTTTTGGCAAGATATAGCTCAGCACCAACACGACAACACTGGAATGGTGTCAAACATATATTACGTTATCTTCGTGGAACAACCGATATGGGCCTGTTTTATTCGAAAGGTTTGGAATCACTAGTTGTTGGTTACGCTGATGCTGGCTATCTTTCTGACCCACATAAGGGTAAATCGCAAAGTGGATATGTTTTACTTGTGGTGGTGCTGCAATATCACGGAGATCAGTAAAGCAAACACTAGTTGCAACCTCGTCAAATCACTCGGAGATAATGGCGCTATGGTTAAGGTCAATGGTTCATCACATTCGAGAAACTTGTGGATTATCTTTGAATAAGGCTCCATCATTACTCTATGAAGATAATGATGCTTGTATTGCACAAATTAAAAGTGGCTACATCAAAAGCGACAAGACGAAACACATATCACCAAAATTCTTCTATCCGCACAAGCTTCAGAAAAGTGGAGACATTGAGGTTCGTCAGATACAGTCATGCAATAACCTAGCGGATTTGTTCACAAAGGCGTTGCCAACTACGACATTTAGGAAGATGATCAATGGTATTAGAATGCGTCAACTCAAGGATCTTTTGCCATGTTCAGGGGGAGCATTATAAGCATTGTACTCTTTTTCCTTCGTCCAAGTTTTTGTCCCATTGGGTTTTTCTTGGCAAGGTTTTAACGAGGCAGTGTCTTAAGCTCAAGTCTACCTAAATGGTGAACATCCAAAATCCAAGGGGGAGTGTTATGTACAAATGTCTTTTGATGTTCTCCATATCTAAGTTAGACTTTTGATTTTCCCCTTTGTAAGCCTATATATAGAGACTCCATATGTTGAAATGTGAGATTCATATCTTTAGTCTCTCATTGCATTCTTTCTCTTTCACTCTCCATTGCACTTTGATATTCCATTTATGTTCTTATCAAGGTATATATCTATCATCTTGTTCTTGATAATATTTCTATCATCTTTATTTTTAACAAGATCTTCATTTTCCGAATCATTTCAATTTTAAATTTGGATCATTCGATTCGATTCATATAATCGGTTCAGCACCTGTTTTGCCAGGTCTATTTGGGTGTACCAAAGTTTTCTAAATCAAGGATAAATTAAACATTTCTCATAGGGATCTCATTGTTGTAAAAAGTAAAAACACCAAGGGGAAAAAGAACAAGGAGACTATACGTCTCGTCTGTACAGGGAATCAAAGTTCCCTGCATCTCAATTCGCAGTGCTGCTCGAGTATAAACCCACAGGCGCCGAATATCAGGTATATAATGAGTTCCTCTTTCTGATGACCAAAGTCTCCGCCATTGATTTTAAAACTTCTTAGCCTTTTTCTATTCCCTTGTGAGTTAATTTTAAATAGATCTTCTATTCCCTATCGATTATATAAGTTTGCTCAAATTTTATATTGTTCGAAGGACTCTGATGCTCGGCCATAATTTTTTGGAATTGGGATTCATTACCTTTGTTGATTCGGTAAATTGATCAATTGATGCGCAAGCTACACGGTCGATGTTGCATCGATCGTGCCCTTGTCCGTTTAGGAGCGTAATATTTTCTTCAGCTGTAAAATGCTGCATACACTTTCTGGACCCTATTCAGATTAAGGGTATTTCTCTCTCTCTCTCTCTCTGGATATTTTGTTTTGGTTTGTTTTGTTGTTTCAATAGGCTTTTGAAGTTTTAAAGTTTATAATCCCTTTTTTCCATGGTTAATTGATTATTTGCTTGATGTTGAAAATGGTTGCCGAAATCAGTACTGCATGTCTAAAGCATCAATCTTGATATGATGCTAATATTCTCAATATCCCATGGAAGGTTTCCATATTTTATGTGGTAATGTTATTAATAGAATGAAATTGTAGTGTTGAGATTAATGCAGAAAAGAGAAATATAAAGAATCACACAACTCTTTTGTGAGAAGGAGAGAAGAATCCTATTATGGGGCGCACAAACAAAACTGAAATATGAACCCTTTTTTGAGGGGGAGGGAGTACTTCGTAGCAACCTATCTCTTTAGATTATGGTAATTAGTTTAGGTACAACGTATTCATGTGTGTTTGCTATACCTATTATATGCTAGGTGAGTGGTGGTATTTGTAGACATGAAATGCAGTAACCATAAATACAACACCAACATCTTAGTGAGGTCCCACAAGTGAGCTTTGATGAAGGTGGGTGTACTTTGTCCTTACCGATGGGCCATTTCCCAAAAACCTAGGCTCAAACAAAACAAACCCAAAAACTTCCCAAAATTTCATAAGAAGTAAGAAATGAAAGAAGTTTTATTTACCATTTTGGTTTAGTGCATTATTTGTTTGAAGCAAAGACATTCTCATTGAGTCTTTTAGCTCCATTGGTAATGGACCGGAAAAACACAAGCTCAAAAAAATGAAAAGATAAGTTAAGAACAGTCAAATATTATATGATACATCCCCTTTAAAGACACCTCCCTACCTAAACATTGATAGCATGAAAGTCATTTACTTCAAGTTGAAGCTTATGTGAAGTTTGTATGGATGAGTGTTCCCTGTTTCAGATGTTTCCATTTCCACTATTTGTGAATTCTCTTCTCTAGATACCAAACTTTGTCTGCTTTGCCATACACTTTATTGTACAAATAGTGCATTCACCGACAACATAATGGACATATCCAAGGTAGTCAAATTCAAGATCCTAGATTGGATCGGGTTAGAAATTAAATAACGTAATTGAAAAATCCCACATAAAGGGCACATTTAAATTAAAAATCAACAAAAAGTGGGAGAAAAAAAAAATCAAAGTTACAGGGAAAATAATCGGAAGTGCAGAAGGTAGAAAAAATATATGAGGGTAGATATAGATCAGTTAATCAAAGTATTAAATCACAAAAGAAAATGAGATAGAGGAGTCACCATTTTGTTTGCAGGTTGGAGATGTTGCAGCAAAAATGATAAGAGAAGATTGTGTTTTTACAATGGGATATGCCAAAGACTCACACATAGTAGAAGCAATCGGGGAATTTAATAAGTATTACTTTGAACGTTGGAAGTGGAATAATTGAGACTTTTGACATATGAGACGTTTTTTTGGCGCCAGTGTAAAATCTGAAGATGCATTTGGATCACAACACAAACACGATCCTAGCAATTCTATGATTAAGCACGACATTTCAATTGGTCATGCGCAATGTGCGATTGTCAAGGTGGTCTAAATTGCAAAAACCTAAAGGATGAGTAAACTCCGGCGATCCTACGATTTGAATTGCTATTTTAACTACCACGGACACATCTTTTTCTATTTAAAATTCTATCATGGTATGTTTGGGAACATGGATTTGGATTTCAAATCCGGATTTGACTTAAATTCCATGTTTGGAAAACTTAAGCATTTTGAATTTGGATTTGAATCAAATTCTTTACATTCAAAACCAAGCTTAATTTGAAATTCATGCACCTCCCCTTGTCATTTGAAATTCAGGATTTCAAATTTTGGATTTGAAATGCATGAATTGAAATGAAATGCTAGTTGCCAAACACTACCTCAATGCAATGAAAGACAACTACTGATGGCTATTCATTTTTCATGCCCGCCTTTAAAAAGATTATTACATGCCAAGAGTACCCAAGATCTTCGTGTTCTACTTGAGGAGTAGATGTTAATATATGCTTTATTACCAAGGGAAAGTCAATTTTATTTGAATCTCAAAGACATTCTTATGCCAACAACAACAACAACAACCTAGTTGAATCCCACGAGTGGGTGTGTGAGACCCCCGGCCCAAGTAACACAGATGACACAAAGAACACAAAAGACACATTAAGCAGAGAAATAATAGAGCAAACTAATATTTATGAAGGAAAAGCATAGCAAGCAGAGAGCACCAAGCATGAAAAACACACAACAACAAATCAACAATTGCGAAAGCTACCACCACCCAACAATGCTTGCCCAACTACCATAATTCCTGCTCTCCAAATGCTTCTATCTAGGGTCATATCCCCGATAAGGACCTGAAGTCCTAGGCATTGTCCAATCACCTCCTTTGAATTCTTTCTTCTTAGGTCTATCCCTTCCCCTGCTCCCACTCACCACCGTAAGCCTCTCACATCTCCTCATGGGGGCCTGGACACTCTCTGCACCACATGCCCAAACCACCTCAACCTAGTTTCCCGCAGCTTATCCTTCATAGGTGATAACCTTGTTCCCCAGTCATATCTGTCCTTGTTTGTCCACTCATCCACCGCAACATTTGCATCTCTGCAGCATGCAGTTGACGAACATGAGTTTTCTTAATTGCCCAGGACTCTGCACCATACAACATAGAACTTATCTTTCATCCTAGACGAAATGTTCTTATCGCATAGAAGTATAGAACCCGTGAAGACAACTTCCACTTAGCCCAAGATTTGAAGGCTGAAATTCAAACCCATCCAGCCATTCTAGATATTACCAAATGCTATTACCGATATTCTGTCTGTCTCTAATATGATATATGTTCTCTTACCCCTGGTCTTTCATTTAATCAGGATCATCTCTTTATTTCTGTGTGACTGTTGGCTGGTTGGTTTACTAGTTCTTCCTATTAGCTAGTATGTCTCCTTCCATGCATTAAAAACTCCCTATTTTATCTGTCTTTTCATGAACTTCTATGGTTTCATTCTTATTTAGGTTAAACCTCTAACTTTTGATCTTTTGGGTTTCTAATTTGATGACTCAATCTAAAGGCAACACTTGATCGTTATATAGATTCTTTTTGTTTTTATATTGAGTATATTTTTTTGTTCAACAACAACTCTTACCTTTCACTTAGTAACAGTAGAGAATAAAAATGAAGTTCTACACAGGAAGGAAAAAATTGATGTTTAGATTGTTTTTGTTATTTTTAGTTGTGTGAAAACTTGTGTTATCTCCTTTGGTTATGATCGATCTCCGTTCATGGTTTGGGTTTAAAGTGTTAGATCTTATGAAGACGATGTTGTTGTTTGAAGGATGGCGTTGGTGTTGTATTTCTATAATTGTTTGATGGGTTTGTGATTCTAACCACTACATCTAGCAAGAGTGATGTAGTCTAATCACAATAAAGGTAACAGGAGTCTGAGTGGAATAGTGGATACGTGCCAGGTTTGGAGGACCTAGTTTGATGAAGAGGATACATAGTGGCATAGTGCCACATGCTTGTTAAAATGTATGAACAGTTAGGAAATTGGAGCTGCAGTGCTGCACAGCTAAAATTATATTTCACTTACTTTGTGCTTAAATCTAGATGTGGGGAAATTTGTTGTACCTATTTATACTAATTTGAGTTCCTCTGTTAGTATTCTTCTTTCTTGTTTATGTGGCCTAAAATTATTATGGAGCATTAATTTGGCTATAGTTCCTCTTGCAGTTTTATGTTTCTTTATTCCTTTAAGCAGTGAAGAGTTTCAATACTTTCTTAATATACCCCTTCTGTCGGTGTGCCTATTCCTCACCCAATGGTTTGTAGAATGACAGTCTTCTAAACCCCTGTCTTATTCTCTAATCGTTTCCATTTTGGTTTAGGTGGAGTCAAGTCAATAAGGTACCAAATAGGTGCTCGTATTATATTTAATACACCGATGGAAGAGTAGTCTCTGTTGGAGCTACAGTGTGTCTGCGTTGTAATTATTCTACCATGGAGTCAAATGTCAACCAACCATCTGCAGGAATCTGTGGAAATACTGCCATGTGTATCTCTGCCATTAATGTATTGTCTTCTAGCAATAGTAGAAAAGGTGAAATCAGGGGATGTTGCATGAAAAACAATTTAATCTGCACAAACTCAAGTTATGATTCTTCCTCTGGCTTTTCAGAGCATAAGGTGTGCCCAAGGGCTTCTGCTATAGCTCCAATGTTGGAGGATCACAAAGCATTAGAAAAGCATGATGATGGTATGCACATCCTCAGTGTCGGGGAAGCTGATAATATTTCCAATGAAAATAAGGAAGATAAACTAAAGATGGCGGAGGAATCTATGAAACACCTACAGGACCAGCTTAATTTGGTAGTGAGCAATGAGGTGGCAACTGGCAATGCTGGTAACCCACTGGATGATGCTTGCATTGCAGAAAAACTTAAGGGATTGGATAAGATCATGCACTCTTCTGATGTATCAGATGCACATGCATCTTCATTAAAAGCCCGTGTGAATGATGGTACCGATGATTCTGATGTTGAAGAGCAAGATGTAAGGATATGTTAACCAATATTTTTAGTGTAATGTATATGTAAATGTGTGCTCACATGTGTGTATGTATCTTTGGGTTTATTTTGCTTATATGGATTGTGTCATCTTTGTTTAGCGTATAATTTATGCTTTAATATCAATGGATAAGGCAGCAATCCAATTGCCACCGCAACACACATGTTTAGTTACTGTAATTGAAAAATCTAGCTTATTCCATGGCAGGCTGTTTTAACTGTTTTATCACAGCATGGAATTTTATAGGCACTCCCATCATTGTATAAATGCTAAAAGGCCATCTATGCTGAAGACCAAACTAGTCTTCAATTTTTTTTTGAAAACTGTCATACATGTTTCTATTTCCTTGCTGCTTCTAAAAGATAATGGATCACACTAATACGTGAAGAGCTGTGTTCACTGAACTGTCCCTGGATGCGCATTATGTTTTCTTTTTCAGATTATAAACAAAAATTGGTGTGTTTGGAATGTATGTTTCTTGTTACTTAAGGGTATCTCATGCATTCTCTTCAATTGTTTTTTGTGTTCCCATGTAAACATTATATATACTTATATAGGATGTTTGGTAAAGCATATGATTATTCTATATTATCTTAGATAGGTTGTAAACAACTACAATCTACCCTAACTTATGGATCATTGCTATATATAAAACTGAATGGGGCGGTACAATTCCTATGTTAGCTTTTCCATGCATAGTAGTTATCTAATTGTTTTAGCATTATCAATAAACATCATAGTATCTATTGTCAAAAAAACATCATAGCATCTTTTTCTTATTACTTTGTACCTTCAATTCTCTCTCTCTCTCTCTCTTTCAATTATCATTATTAAATCTAGTGTGGAATGTGAAATGTGAATTTTCCCTGTTGTGATCAGGTCAAAGTTTGTGATATATGTGGGGATGCAGGTCGAGAGGATTTACTTGCCATATGTTGTAGATGTGCTGATGGGGCTGAACATACGTAAGTCTCTTTGTGTGTGTGTGTAGGTCTTATTAATATTATTATTATTACTGTTCTTGTTGTTATCATTCTTATTATCATTATTATTGTTATTATTATTATCATCATCATCATCATCATGATCATGATCATGATCATGATTATTATTATTACTATTACTATTACTATTACTATTACTATTACTATTACTATTACTATTACTATTACTATTACTATTACTATTACTATTACTATTACTATTACTATTACTATTACTATTACTATTACTATTACTATTACTATTACTATTACTATTAC